TGAATCATCATTTGACAATGAAATTCAACAACAACGGGCGATAATAAATATTGAGTGAAAGAATGAATGAATGAATGAGAAGATGAGAGCTGAAGGACATGGCATTGCCAGGTTGCCTAGGTGGGGGTGGGGGTGGAAGTGGCTGTAAATGAAAGTGTCGGTGTAAGTATGGATGTGGGTGTGGATGAATAGTAGGGCTAGACCCACACCCAAAATTGACTCTTATTTTATCTAATTTGAATTGGTCCAATGCTTTCCACACCTATTCTTCAAAAGACAGACTAGTTTTTAGTTAATTTTCTCAATTTAATATATTTTAAATCAGTTGTTAATCCATAAACTTCAACAAGAAGTACTTGCATCAATGCTCGATATCATAAGCCAGCATTTAATGCCTGTGTGAAGCAAGAAAAACAAAATAATCTTTTTCGATTAAATTTAGTTAAATTCACTTGATCTGTTTTATTCATTTCAAATAATTGAATAATAAGCATTCTTGTATTTCTATCTAATTTTGTTTTTTTTTCTCGAATTCATCAATGACTCAATAGAAACCTACATTGATCAGTCTCACTACGTTAATCTAAAACAATTTTTTCTTATTTTGATTTGCAATTCATACAGATACTTGTGAATGGATGTAAAATCTTTTTTTCTTAGATAAAAGTGAGCCGAATACTAATCCACATGCATGGTAACTAGAAATAAGAAATGATGATGAATGACAAGTATATGCTCGATAAAATAATTTTGAAAATTTGTTTTACTATCAACAACAGTTGATGTTGCTTTATATTTTACATTAAAATATATTTCTTCTTGATATTTTGATAAGATTTCTGTGCGGTGTTGACTACTGTCAATGGTTACTTCACATGATTCAATACCGAAAACGTTTCTATCATAATCATGAGATATTTTTACACTTAAATAACGGCGGCTACTTCCATAATCAACTATCTTAAGAAATTCCAGTTATTATAATAAAAAAACAAGGTGAATATTTAATTTAACGAATTAGCATTTGTCATATTAGCTAACTGGTTAATAATGCGAATTAAAATTTGTATTTGTTGTTTTTCTTTTTGACTCATAAACATCCGACCTGTATGTTTGTACGATTTTGGTTCATTTTTGTCGTTTTCTTGTAAAATTTATACTTGAAATTTTCATATGCAACTGAAATTTGTTCAACTTTTCTTTTCCATTCAACTATTCATTAATAAGATATAAGGATCAATTAACTCGGGTCATTATCGAATATAATTACAACTAAGATAATAAATGTATTTAAAATGTACGTTTATCACATTAGATTCATTTTATTTTGTTACTCAACCAAATTATAAAAGTATTTCAGCAATTTTCTTTTATGTTTAAAAATACCAGTATTTATTATCATTCGATTAATCTTCCGTTTTTTGATTATATTTCATTTTTCTTTCTCTATATATTAAGTTTGTTTAATACTCAAACTAATCTTTCTTGTTGACAGCTTCAAAGAAAAGATATATGATTTAGTGTTTGAATGTAATAAACAATCTGAACTAACACGGATAAATGAAAATATTATAAAACAAAACAAAATATAGTAATACAATGCTAGATTACAGAATAATTCGTATTTTTTGCATTTTAACGACGAATGAACCAATTAAAAATTGTAGCTCTACCAACGACTAATACTAATTTATCGAGTTGAATATTATTTCATGATGCTAGTATACAATATGGAATTTCAGCTAAAACAAAGAACATTTATTTTTCTATGTAAGAAAATCATATATACTGGTATTTTTAATTAATTTACCAAGCATTAAAATTGAACCAATAGTTGTTGTTTGTTTACTTATAATCTGATGCACTTGAAACACCACTTCTAATTAACATTAAATTTCCCAAATACGTTGATCACTTATGTGATTCAATTAATTTTGATATGGCATTTTCACCAGCAATATACATACGAGCATCATGATTAACACATTTTATCTAAATCATCAACATCATTATGGATGATCATAATACAAACTATATATGAAAATAAGAATTCAAGAAAAAAAAGTATATATGGTTTTACTTCCGTGAACACTTTCAGCAGCCATTGGATCAAGAAGACGACGATAAACGATATACATGTCTTGTTTTTACTATTTAGCCTGTGCTGTTTCAACGCTAATGCAATGAGAAATGACTCATCAATGGATAGAATGTTTACTATTGTTCATATTTTGGAGTAATTTTATCGAAAGATAATCGATGATAAGCAATGTTATGTAATGAAGTTGATCAGCACTTTACTCAAATCTTAATCAGTAATTCGATAATTGAGGAAGTCATTTTGCTCGCTTACGGTAATGCATTATCATAAAACAGAGAATATTGTTATATCATCTTGCTTGCCCTTTCTATTCATTACTTCTGTTTCCCAAACTGAGTATAAATGAGGGGTAGCAGAATTTAAGAATTCTGTATCAAACGTATTTATCGTTACCCACATCATCATTCTCTTTACATTAACATCATCTTCTTACGAACTCTTCTCATCATCACCGAACTTTAATCAGGACTCTGCTTAGAATTCTATTTTCACAGCAGAATTTTGTTGGATATACTCATTCTTTATCTGTACTTGTAGTTCTACAATAGTAGGGCTATATTACTATTACTGAGAATACGTAATAGTTTTGAACGTTATTACTGGTTACCAGAAATAAGTAACAATGTTGAATATTAATGAAGGGCGTATAATTAATGAAGTAATATAGGTAATACGAGGAATAAAATTAATGAAGTAAGACAGTGAGCAAATAAGAAAGTAATGAAATAGGAAAGTAATAAGTAATAAAAGAACTTATCACTTATTACTGGTAATAATATAATAAAATTCAAAAATAACAAAAGTAATTAGTAACACCTTTATATATAATTGACCTATATTTTGCTGACGAATGAAAATAACAGTTCTTATGTGATCAAAATAATGAATTAAAATGAAATTACTACTTAAAGTAATAAGTAATAAAATTAATAAAAATTTATTACGCCTTACCAAGTATTAACAAAAAAAAGTAATTGTAATGTAGCTCTCATATTCTTCCTAAATTTAATGTGAGATGAAGATAATGTTTACGGAAATATGTATCGGCGATTACCATTTAAATGTAGAGGGACATATCAATTCGAACAATGATAATCTCTTTCATACAGAAGATGAAGATGAAGATGAGTTTAATGTTTTTAATGAGAGAAAAATTGCTAGTGCTAAAAATATCAATATTTCTCATTGAGAACAATATGATGATTTGGTGCTTCATGAATTTTGTTATTCGAGAGGAAAATTAACATGTTTTGATCGTCGTGCAGGTCTTCATTATAAGTATTTATTGTTTTGTCGAATCGGTTTTTATTCATTCGTTATTATCTACATATAAACACGACAACATATTTTATTAAAAGTTAATTCTTATCTGTTGATATTTATATTAATTCAATATAAAAAAATGAATTCTGCTAAAGGATGAGGATCCTTTAAGAGATCAACTGTGAAAATCAAAGATGATGATTCCCTGAAAGCAATGCCTGTCATTTTGAAAGGAAATGAACTGGGTCAGAAACATCATGGGATTGATCTTGACTACTCCGTGACAAGTTCATTTAGTCAATTTTAATAAACAAATTATCGAAAATTTTCAATTTCGATCAATTTTAGATTTGAATTATTTTTTCGAAATAAATTATTTTGTTTTTCATCACTTTCTGTTGGTAAAACAAAATTCTAAGCAGAATTTAGATTTCAATAGTGGAGAACATCACAGAAATCTTAATTCTGCTTGTTGAGAATTCTGTCACTGCTAGTTATTGCTTTAACATGTCCAGAATCGCTCATTTAGACGAATAAGTTAGAGTGCTTTAACGATGGCAAAACAGAATTTTTTCAACTAAACTGGTTGAGACAATTCGAAATCATTGAGCGTTGATATAATAGATTGTGATTAAAAAGCAAAATTATCAGAGTTTAAAATAGACATCAATTACTATTCACATCAGACAATGCTTTTTTATTGAATAAAATAAGCACATGCCGCAAGTTAGAAATGACAATCGTTGGCATGTTTCTCAAGCACATCATGCATTAAATCAAGCACTTGGAAGATGTATTCGTCATAAAAATTATTGATATACTGATCCATTTTGAAAAAATATAACTCGCTGTGTTAATATATAGACTAACAGTCTCATTAGCCAATTTTGATACGCAAGTAGAAGCATTTCAATATACTGATCCGTTTCTAGATATCAGTGATCTCAATAATTTATTTCAATACACAAGCAGAAGTGCTTCAACAAACTAATAAACTGATCCGTTTCGAAATGCTCCTTGTAGTATCGCTATATGTATTCGATAAACTTAATTATTACAGCATTGATATTGATTTTCTGGTTTTTAAAAATTTTTTCTTTTTCACTTCTCGGCTGATTTTGTAATTGTTTGTTTGATTATTTAGTTGTTTTTTTATTCGTGTTTATTAGTAATGCAGTGCCCTGATGAGTGTTTCAATATATTAATAAAATAAACACGAAATGCGTTAGAGAAATAAAAACTCTGCATTATTCTTTTCAATTATTTCAATTGAAGCACAATTTGTTTTGAGCTTTGAATTTAATTTTTGACTTTTGATCGATTGCTGGAAAACAAGAATTGAGATTAGCAGATTGATTTGTGTTTTCGGTAAAGCATAAGTCGATCTGTTTTTGAATTAACTCTCTTTTTCGGGCACACTTTATGGGTGCCCCTAATATCGTAAACATTATGAGAGTTTCACAAAGAAAGGGAAAATAGCATTCGAAAACTTTCTACTGTCATCGATCGTCCACAATTCAGCTGGATAGGGCAGTTAGGCTACTCCATGCGCTTGCTTATTACTGCTCTGTTTTGTTAGCTATAGACATGTCACAGAAAAAAAATGTGGTTAATTCGATGAAAACAGATCCGGCTGTTATGAGCAAGTAGTGGCGGCAAGATGCTGGTGCACTTGAAAATGGCTCGAGCTTCGTGACCACTTTATAGTTAATAAATGCTTATCTTCCTCAATTAGGCTTAAAAATTGTTTTAAAATTGAATCAGAACGACTTAAAACCAGTTGTTTCTCATCATTGGTAGTAGCTTCTTCCAACCATTTAATTGACTTCAGAATATTGTCATAAATTGAGTGAAATTGTGTAATGTCTTGATCAAACTGTTGTATAGATTTATATTGCTTAGGACACGGCAATACGCGACGTTTAATCGTTCCTGAATAAAATGCAGCCAGTTCATTGTACACTTGCACCACTCTTCTATATACGAGTGATGGTTGATTCGGTGACGCTGTTTTATTTTCACTAGTCGTCGTTAGCTGCTGTGATTGTATTGATATTTCATCTGCTATTGTTTGTACGAGGCCTTGAAAACTACATTTATCTCTCCATTCTGTGGGTATAGTATTAATTCCATAATAAGCTCCTGCCAACATGCCATAAACTGCTCCAACTGTATCAGCATCATCGCCTAAATTTACTGCCTTCAGTGCGCCTTCTGCAAACGAATTTGTGTGATAAAATGCCCATAACGCTGCTTCCATTGTTTCGACAACAAAGCCTGAAGCTCTGATCTCAGGCGGATTACGATGTTTGTATGAACCAGTCATTACTGCTACAACAGATGGTTCAAGTGGTGAGGTTGCTTTTGTCGTCCAGTAATCATGCGGTAAACCAACTGGAACATATAGTTCATCACTATTCAATAGTTCATCTTTAGTAGCTTCTTGTAAAGCGCCAATAATTAAAGCCGTGTATACTCTACAACTATCTAGACATAGTTGCGAAGAATGCGTAGTCTTCGATGAATTTATTGCTTCGTTCATAGCGTTAAGAGGATCATGATAATAAAGTAGGGGAACAGGCGCTAATCGCATTAATGAACCATTACCTGACGCATTGCTGCTTGCACTTCCATAGTAAGCATCAACGCTACTTAATTGATAACCTTCAGCTTGATCACAATGAGAAATAAATCTGCTTAGGGCAGTGCGCACAGTTATACCTATATCAAAACATTCTCCAGTTGATGATAAATAACCAGATTCATACCAACGTCGATATAAATTCATTTGTACAACTGACGGATGAATAACTGGATTATCGGTTTCACTACCTAATAAAGCGACAGCTAAACATAACGCCATTGAGCCATCATCAGTAAATTGACCAGGCTTTAACTGAAATTTACCACCTCCTCGTAACGTTTTCACTGGATCAAATGACCCAGGAGACTGACATTCTACAGCAGCTCCCAGGAAGTCACATAATAATAATCCGAATAAGGAGCCACAAATACGATCTGACAAACTAACTCTATTCACGAACATCGAAAAATGGAAGGAGTTAATTTCGGTGCCGATATTTTTTTAGTATGCTTATTTGCAGTCGAAGGAGAAAAAGTTGCAACGAAGACAACGCACTTTTTTAACCATAAAAAATACAACAGAATTGCTCTCCTCTGTTATTTGTCATCGAACGAAAAAAAGTTGCAACGAAGACAGTCCACTTTTTTAACCAGTAAAAATTCAACAGAATTGCTCTCCTCTGTTATTTGCAGTCGAAGGAGAAAAAGTTGCAACGAAGACAACGCACGTTTTTAACCATAAAAAAGTCCAACAGAATTGCTTTCCTCTGTTATTTGCAGTCGAAGGAGAAAAAGTTGCAACGAAGACAGTCCACTTTTTTAACCAGTAAAAATCCAACAGAATTGCTCTCCTCTGTTATTTGCCGTCGAACGAAAAAAGTTGTAACGATGTCAACGCACTTTTTTCCAGAGCAGCATATTTCTAGGCATTGATTCATTTCTTGGAAATGACTTTTTAAATGTTTCACACTGATTATTGATATAAACTTTTGTTTGCTGTTCTTCCGGCTGAAAAACAATCGCAATTTGTATTTTTTCAGCGATTTTCTCCAATAAAATTTGTGCAGAAAATGGTTCCATTTCATCGTATGTCAATAATTGAATATCGGGTTGTGCAGTTAATATTTGAAAATCTAAAGTAATTGTTAACGATAATACATTAATCTCAATCGATAACGGAAAACCAACGCTTTTTCCAGGTAAAGTGATTATGAAGAGTGAATTCCGTTTCGAGATGATGTTCGTTGACAAAATCACGTAGGCAAATAGTCGATGTTGTATAAAAATCATTTTGCAAATTATCATCAATTAAATAAGCAGTGTAATGAAAAGAAACAATTGAATGGATGTGAAACTTTTGGGTGTGGATGCGGGTGTGGGGTGTGTGAGTGCGAATGTGGCGTGTGGATGTGGGTGTGGGTATGAATGCGAACTAAGCTACACGACACCGACACCGATACCCCCTCCTCCACACCCTCAGGGCAAACGAATAATTACAGAACGTAAAAAGAAAACATATATATATGTCAGCGTCCAAACTGAGATTACGTCCAATCTGAGATTGGCTTAGGCGAATGTCGAATCCGAGATTGAACGCGTCCAATCTCGGATTGACGCAATTCTGTTCACTAAAAAATCAATTACTCTTGAGATAGACGTTGGATTGGAACTATTT